TTCAATAAAAGGCTACAAAATAAGAAAGTTGGAGTCTTTTGGGTATTTATTTATTATTTATTCATTAACCTACAATTAAAGATAGAAATAATTATTAGTGGTATATTTATTCATATAAAATAGATAATAAGGATATAAAATTATAATAAAATATGATTATCAAATACCCCCACACCTAAATTTTTGCTAGTCCTCTAGCAAAGAAAGAAAAAGAAAATCCTAACCCACTTTCGCAGGAATCACGGTTGTATTTAGCGCATACAACAAGCCTTTAAACCCGTAGGTTACCCTAGTGGACAAGTTGTAGTCTCGTGAGGGTTTGCAGTGAATATACCCACAAAATTCGGTCAACTTATCAATTTAAAGAAGTCAGCAAATAACTAAAAGTACTTGATAAAATTAGACAATCTAATTGAAGCTAGTTATTACTCAAGAAAATGTTTTTATATATAACTCCAAAGTGAATTTACTAGAAAATCTTCTCATTATTACAATACAAGACCAAGCCAAACTTAGAAATTTAATTTAAAAGTTTTAAAAAGAATATGCTAACTCTTTGTTTAAAATAATATTCAAGTTGCTTGATCAGAAATATTTTTCAAGGCCATATATATAACATTTGTTAGTATTTTATTATTATTATTATTAATTTTTTAACTCTTTCTTCCTTGGTGATTTTTTTCTACTTTAACGGGCTTTCTAAGTGACCATTTAACGAGTTTTGGGTCAATGGATCCTAACCCAATTTGGCTTAGGTCATTAAGTATAAAAATACTCCTTGGGCTTAATTACTCAGTCGGCTTAGGCTTTATAAGATAGAATCACCTTAAATTTAAGAGTTTTTTTATGCCCATTTTCCGCACTCTTCTTTTGCAATGTTAGTTTTTTTTATATGTATATATATTCTGAAAAATATGTAAATCAAGACACTTTGAAAAATTACTTTCAACTCTAAGCTAAGCATGTAGAAATTCTATTATTTTAAATAAAAGTCTAAGTTAAGGCTTAAGTAAAGTATACTACCTTGAAAATCTATAGGGAATTGCTTGCAAATATCTGTGTTCAATTCTAAGACATCTGTAGCCGTGTTAGCACGAAATCTCCTCATGCATGTTTGTTTCCTCTTTATGCAATTTGTACAAATTTTAAAATTTATAAAATTAAAGGGATCTAGAATCCTATCTGACACAAGTTCCTTGATTTTCTATTTGGAGATGTGACCTAATCTCTTGGGCCATAACGAAGCAGAAGTTTCATCAGTTACTTTTCTCTTTACACCTCGAGTGCTTACTATAGGGTTTCATAATATGGAGCAACTATATCAAGCAAATAAAGATTATCAGCATAAAATAAAGGACTGATACTAACCAAATTTATATTCTAAAGAATACTAAACTTTCCATTTCCAAAAGAAGAAAATTAACCTAATTTGTCCAATACAAGAGTAGAAACCAAAATTTGCCTAAATGATGGTACTACATAAGTCTCTTTTAAATCCAAATAATAAATAGACTTTAACAATAACCTAAATGTTCCAATTGCCTCAACTTTAACCTTTTTGCCATCCCCCGCATATATTTATCTTTCACTATCACTTGGCTTTCGACAGCTCAGGCAATCCTACGTAGACACACTACTGTTAGTTGTGGCGGCAAAATATAACCATGACGTGTGTTTAAGTGCAAAAAATAAATTAACCTCAGAACAAATAAAATTAAAAAGTGTATATTTATTTACATGTTATGCGTGATAATTGGTACAGTTTTTCTTCTTATGTCCCGCAGCCCCACAGAAGAAACAACAATCTCTATTATTTGTCTTAAGTTGTTTCTTTTGTGGTTAAGCTTTTGCAGCAGCTTCATTATCTTTCTTTCTTTTCTTCTCTTTGTCCTTGAAAGTACTAGCCAAATAAACACTTTTTGTCTTCTCTTGCTTCAACATTTTCTCTTCTTGCCCACAATGTGAGATGATCTCATTAAGAGACTAAGCCTCCTTTTGACATTTGTAGCTCACTTTAAATTGACTGAATTGTGTAGGAAGATATATAAGAATTAAATGTACAAGCAAGTTCTCAGAGAGTTTAAGCTTAAGTGCTTTCAGGATTGAAGCAATGTGAGACATCTCCATGATGTACTCCCTAATGTTGTTTTCTATTTGTATCTAACTAAGATAAAATTTACCAAAAGTGTACTAGTTTCAGCCTTTTCATTCTTTGTAAGCCTTTTCTCAATGTCCTCAAAGAACTTTTTAGCGACAGTTATCTTCGTAAACATAGTGCCCCATGAATGCTTCTGGAATGGCCCTCTTCATGATCATCATACAAAGCGATTTAATTTCTCCCACCATTATATGTCCTTTTTATCATCAGTGGAACTTTTGTCCTTAAGAGGTGCAGGAGAAGGAAGACTTAACGCAAGCATAAGATCCATGACTCCGAGAACTATCATAATGTTTTCTTGCAATAACTTGAAGTTGGTGTCATTTAGCATAGGAATAGAATTAATATTGATAATGATGTTTGAAGTAGAACTAACAGCTGAATCAGATGACAACATAAGAAATGAATAAGCTCACATAAGAAACCAAATCAAATTTTATGAATTCAAAATTAGCAATATCCATCTCAAGATACCTAACACAATGTTATTATCTAGTGTTTGGACAGAGTTATTAATTTGCAAGTGGTACTCTTAGTGTAGTGATCAAACAATGACAATAATACATGTCAAACAATAAACCTTTCATTGGACCCGATTTATTGTTCACATGTAAAGCCAAATAACTTTCCATATTTATCACCACAAGTATGCATATGGTTCATTCAAATATTAACGTTTCTTTGGCTGATTAATATTTACATGAACCATATACACACTACCATTTTGATATTTAAAAATAAATTGATCTACATAAGAGAAGTTACTTTGATAACGTGTTATTTCAATCAATTCTTTTCAATACATCATATATCTTTATTAAACTTTAATGCCAAAATTTTGAATCTAATAAATAAAATAAATAAAATAAATTCCTAATGCCAGCCCAACACTGTAGGTGAGCCCAAGTCCAATTAAGAAAAATAAATTATAAATGCAAGCCAAACCCTATATTGGGCTTCGATGCTCATTGCTGGCTCGCCAATTTCTTTTATTTTGTTTTTTATTAAATAGGCCAGTTATGGTGGTCGCCCACTTAAACTTCCCTTTCTTTTTATAACGGGCTAGTTATGGGGGCAGCCACTTAAATTCTCCTTTTCTATAATGGGCCAGTTATGGGGGTGGCGACTTGAATTCTCCTTTGTATTTTTTTTTTCAACGGCGCTGTAGCGCCGGAAATCTAACGCTGTAGAGCTAGAAATCCAGGGCTGTAACTTCCCTTTTTTATGTTTATTTCTGACATGAAATCTTTCTTTGATGGCCTTTGATCCAAATCCAAACATTAAATAATTTTGAATACATAATAAAAATTAAATCGAAACATCCAAATTTCTCAATAAATTTATGCATATTCATGACATGATGATCAAACCATAGTTTTCAATCAAACATGACTTCTTCTAAACCTGATTCCTAAAATTAAAAATATAATAACCCTTTTGAATCCGAAATCATGAAGAAAATATAAGAGGAAGAGCTACCAACTTGTGTTCTCAAATTTAAAAAAATCAAAAATGATGGATTGTTAGATTTGAGAACATACAAGAGAATCACATCACAAATTGAAATTAATTCTCAATAGTTTAATTTGAACACCGCTATGATACCAATTATTAGATATTAAAAATAACTTTTGTTTTAAGATGAAACCCTAATCAAACCCAAGATCGTCCATATCAAACTATTGAGAGAATTAAGAAGATGCGGAATCATGCCTGAATCCATGGACTAGGATGTGTAAAGATGTAGATATTCCAAATCTTGTACATATGTCCTCCTTAGAGAAATCTTTTTATTTTCTCTGTAACTTTTTGAAGATGAGATATCAGAAAGAAACTGTACGCAGAGATTTGGGGAACCACAACTCTTTTAATAGTTGACTTCTTCAGTTATTTATAATTATCAATTCAGCCCATCATAAAATTAACAATTATATTTTGGTCTCTACACATAGGAGTCTCATACTTTAATGATGCATTAAAAGTCAAAACCCTAAATTAGACCACTTTAATGGGCTAATCTTAATTGACAGCACATTATACAAAATTATTTAATATATTGGCCCATATATTGGATTTAAATCCAACAAGGGTGGCTTATTGGAATATAAACTTCTTTTTAAGACGCTGAAATCATAGATGTTTTGCAGCTAATTTCTATTTTAGAGGTGTTTATATGAATTTGGATTCTCTCTACTGCCAAGAAAATAGTGGAGGGACTGCTAATTAATCATAACCGTTGATTGTATAGTGGATGGTTATGATTTTTATCTTTTAGTGCAAATTAGGAATGGGTATAGGAGAGTACGGTGAGTGAGAGTTAGATTTAGAATGTATCACAGCTCAACAATTTGCATTAGAAATAGTGGTGTTTTTAATGTATTTTTTTTTATAGCGGAGAAGATCAAATTATGTTTATGCGAAATGAAAGGACTTCATCCACGCAATTAAATTCGGTTCTTCGCAAACAAGCTCCTAGTCTTTTTTGGTTGTTAGTGCGAATCTATTTTGATAGCTATACTCCAACTTCTTCCAATCCTCAGTCTGACTGGATTCCAAATAGCATATTCGAATCTCCTTGGGACCTCAATCCGACTAGACTCCAGCTATCCAGCTCTACCACGTGAACCTCAGTCCGACTAGACTCCAGCTATCCAGCTCTACCACGTGAATATTCTTTATTGTTGTATTGAATCTCAAGGAAAGTGCAATAAAGAACCCAATAACCCAAAAGAATATCCCAAAGCATAAACCTCCGCATCTCCGGTACACATGAATTCAAAATCGGAATATTCTATAATTCCCCTCCCGTCTAAATGGTATAAATTCTCAAACCAAACCACCTCCCAAGTCCAAAATCCAAATTACGGCTCCCCCTACGAAAATATCAAAGAACAAGGGAGAAAAATAAATAGCAATGCTTCTCAAAACTCTTCAAGTCTCCGACGTCCCCGCCCTCGACCAAGTCCATGAAATCTCCACGTCCTCTCCCTTTCTCCCCAAAACTCTCAAATCATCGAACTTTACGGTCATCGGCCACCGTGGAAATGGCATGAACTCGCTCTCCTCGACAAACCCAACAATGGAAAACTCAATCCTCTCCTTCAATAAAGCCGGCAAATTCCCGATCCAATTCATCGAGTTCGACGTCCAAGTAACCAGCGACGATCACCCAATAATCTTTCACGACAGTTTCATCCTCGCAAAAAACAAAGGCGAAAAAAGAGTTACAGATCTTTCACTTAATCAGTTTCTTTCCTACAACTCAAAAGCTCTTCTTAGAAAAACCCATGATGGGGAAATCCTCGATTGGTCGGTCGAAAATCACGAAAATCCTCTTTGCACATTGCAAGAAGCGTTCCTCAAAGTCGATCCCCATCTCGGTTTCAATATTGAGCTCAAATTCGACGACGAAGTCGCCTACAAAGACGAAGAGCTGATCCACAGTCTACAAATCGTGCTAAATTGCGTGTATCAATATTCTGGAGATCGAAAGATTATTTTCTCTTCTTTCAGTCCTGACGCAGCCAGGCTAGTTAGGGGGCTTCAAAATCTATACCCTGTATTTTTTCTTACTGATGGCGGTGTAGAAATCTACGGCGACGATAGGAGGAATTCTTTGGAGGAGGCGGTGAAACTGTGCAGAGAGTGCGGGTTGCAGGGGATCGTGTCGGAAGTTAGAGCTCTGATGAGGAAACCGTCGGTGATATCTGAAGTTAGGGAGGCTGGGCTTGGACTGATGAGTTACGGGAAGCTGAATAATATTGGGGAGATTGTTTGGTTGCAGAATTTGATGGGGATCGATGGGGTGATTGTTGACAGGGTTCAGGAGATTACGGAGGTTGTTTCTGGCTTTGCCGGGTTGAAAGATGAAGGCAGAGAGGATGAAGGGAAGTTGTTGGTGGGGCCACGGTTCTCTCAAGTTGAGCTTGAATTTGTGTTGAAGCTCATACCTGAGCTTGCAAAGGGTAAGGGGTGCTGATCAATTGTGTATAAAATTTGTTGTTTCAGACCTAAAAATTAACTACGAGTTATTTTACTAGAATATTCACAACGAAAAAGTAATGAACGGTTTTTCATCGTGTACGAACTCATAAGCTTGTATCTACTCAAATCTTTTTCATGTTTTGTGCGCGCATGTATGTAACCTGGGTTGCCCTTTTAGCGTGTTGGTATCTAGTATCTACAAAGTGTTATGGGAAGTGACGCATGTTCCCGTCAGAAGGGCTTAGGCTAAGCTTTAGCACCTCCCTTTTGGGCCTTAACTGTGAATTCACCTAGCCCAAATCTAAACCACGTCTTTGGGCTTTATTTTGCGCTCGGACACGAAGTAATACTTGTTAAATTGACGATTAAGAGCTTGGTTATTTGTTAGATACGGGGATCCCTGAGGTCAGAGTATGTCAAATTCATTGTCAAGTTAGAAGATCGTACTTTTGTGACTCCCATTTTACTACCATCTCCCGTTGAATGAAACGCCTGTGTGAACGATACATATCGATGTGCCTACGCCGTAATGGTATTTTTGTTTGACTACTTTACGTGCCCTATCAACTTAATTAAACTATCATTCTGTTAATTCTGATCGTCAGGTGAGCTTAAACATAAATAACACCAGTCAATTTAAAGGAAATTATGTGGACATAATTTTATTAAAGTAAATATCAGTCGAGATACAACTAGGCCAGCACAACATATATCTGGACAAGGAATAACTCCCCATAAGTTATCATAAACCTGATTTTACACCATTCACAGTCATTCAAACATAATACAATCTCATATATGAAGAGATAAAAGGAAGAATATAATTTTCGATTTGAATTGATATAAGGAGAATACAAGAGTATTTATAGATCTCAAAGGTAGAGACCTATTAGGTAACGACTATACATGGTAAGTAGATTACAAGGTAACAACTATACATGGTAATAAGATAAACAAGGTAACAACTATACATGGTACATAATAAGATAAACAATGATGGTAGGAAATATTATATTCCATCAAATATTATATTCTGTCATGCCCTCGCAAGTTGGAGTGTCTGGAAGATAGTCCAATCTTGGTGCATAGGTTTGTAAACTACGTGGATGGAAGAGGCTTTGTAGGATTTGGATCCTCTCCACTACAAAAAAGTAGTGGAGAGACCACTACTTTTAATCTCAAGCATTGATTATTTAGTAGGCGGTTATGATACAATCTAAATGTAACACTTACCATACCCCCGTGTATTACACTCATTCCTAATTTGTACTAAAAGAAAAAATCATAACCATCAACTAGATAATCAATGGCTTTGATTATGTAGTGGTCCCTCCACTATTTTTTTTGTAGTGGAGAGGATCCGAATCCGGCTTTGTAAGCATATCAACGAGTTGATCTTCGGAGCGGACATGAGAGACGCGGATAATACCACGTTGAACATGTTGCCTGATGAAATGATAGTCAATAGCGACATGTTTCATTCGAGAGTGGACTACTGGGTTGGCACAGAGTTAAGTGGCACCAACATTGTCACAATAAATCATAGGTTGAAGGGGGGTAGTGATGCCGAGTTATGTAAGAAGTGAGAGGATCCATCTAGTTTCCGCAGTCGTGGACGCCACTAATCTGTATTCGACTTCTATGGATAAGCGGGCAATAGTGCGTTGCTTTTTGGAGCTCCAGGAGATAGCGTTATGGTCCAAGAAAATGATGTATGCACTGGTGGAGGAGAAATCATCTTTATCACCGGCCCAGTCAGTGTCCGAGTAAGCAAGAAGAGAGAGAGAGAGGACTTTGACGAAAAAGAAGAAGACCTTGATCAATAGTCCCTTGGAGATAGCGAAGGACCCGTTTTGCAGCATTCAAGTGATCAGTGGTTGGAGCTTGCATGAACTGGGACAACTTGTTGATAGCATAGGAGATGTCAAGATGGGTGAGGATAAGATACTGGAGGCTGCCTATGATGTTGCGGTAGTCACGACCGTCCGAGAGTGGTACACCACTGTCATGTCGGAGCGAGGTCACCATCGCTAGGGGGGTACGGACAGGATGGGACGCGACCATCTTGATCCATGTGAGAAGATCCAGAATATAGCGGTGCTGAGACAGAACAACACCAAGAGAATGCGGGACAACTTCTACACCCAAAAAGAAGTGAAGTGGACCAAGATCTTTGATGAAGAAACGACGACCAAGTAAGGCAATAATGGAGTCAAGTTGGGCCAGATTATTACCAGTGACGATAATGTCATCCACATAGGCTAGAATATAGAGAGTGGTACCTGCATCAGAGAAGATAAACAGAGACACATATGCTAGAGAGTTATAAAATCCAAGAGTGAGTAAATAGTCATGCAACTCTTGGTACCAAGCTCTTGGAGACTGCTTGAGGCCATAGAGAACTTTTCAGAGAGAGCAAACATGGTTAGGGTGATCCTTGTCAATAAACCCTGGCGGTTGCATCATGAAAACCTGATCATGGAGAGTGCCTTGCAAGAAGGCGTTATTAACATCAAGCTGCCGAAGAGGCCATGATTGGCTGACCGAAAGTGAGAGAACTAGGCGGATAGTGGTTGGTTTAATAACTGGACTGAATGTCTCTATAGTCTACCCCAGGCCGTTGATGAAAACCCTTAGCCACTAACTAGGCTTTGTACCTATCCACAGAACCGTCGGGTTTTCTTTTGATACGAAAGACCCATTTACACCCTACAACATTTTGAGAAGGAGATGGGGGAACCAATGTCCATGTTCCATTGCGAACAAGGGCCATAAATTCATTGGACATGGCTTGTCGTCAAGAGGAATGAGAAAGAGCCTGTGACACAGTTGTCGGTTGGGTTTCATAAAGAGGAGGAAGTTGGGCAGTGAGATTAAGTTTTTGAATAGGCTTAGAGATATTATTCATTGACCGAGTGGTGATAGTACGTGGTGGAGGTGGGGCCTCGGGTAATAGGGGATTGGGGGTGGGGAGGGCTCGAGCAGAGGTGTTGGATTGGATAGAGTGTGAGTCACTGGACTGGATAGTAGGGATACGGGGGTTGAGGCAGTGGGGTTTAGGCTTTGTGGTGAGGATGGGGTGACGGGTGGTGAGTACACGAGAGGTGGTTGGGGAACAAAGTGATGAGGGATATCCCAAGAGTACGATAGGTCAGTAGGTGGGGTAGTACCTGTGGGGTAGGCTGATGACCGAGAGTTGAACGAAAATAAGGACTCAACGAAGTTGACGTGATGGGAGACATAAACACTGTTTGTAGAGAGATCAAGATACTGATACGCACTTTCAGTAACAGAGTACCTAATAAAACCACAAGGAGTGGAGTGGGTCTGTAGTTTGTGAGAAGCGTAGGGACGAATCCATGGATAGCATAGACAACCAAAGACTCGAAGTTTGGCATAATTTGGGGTGGTGGAGAAGAGACACTCAAACGGTGATTTCATTGAAAGGGTGTGTAATGGAAGGTGATTTATGAGATAGGTGGCAGCAGGTAAGGCATAGGACCAGTACGAGAGGGGCATTGAGGCATGATGCAAGAGTGTAAGACCAATCTCTACAATATGACAGTGTTTTCGTTCGGAGATGCCGTTATGTTCAGGGGTATGTGGCGGGGAGGTGAGGTGAGATATACCAACGGAGTTGAGGAATGGGGTAAGTGCTTTGTATTCACCCCCGTTGTCGGAGTTGAGAGTCTGAATGGTCGTGGAAAATTGTTTTTCCACCAACACCCGGAATGAAAGAAACGTCTAATAGACATGGGCTTTTTGTTTTAACATATATAGCCAGGAGTAGCGCGTGAAGTGGTCAATAAAAACAACATAATATTTAAAACCATCCACAAATAAGACAGGAGATGTCCAAACATCAGAATAAATAACATGTAATGGATGAGAGGAGACAATAGTAGAGACAGAGAAAGGTAGTTTGTGCAATTTATTACACTGACAGGCATTACAATTTGATAAAAACGACGCAACACCAGTAGTATCTAAACTAAATTTATTTAAAACTTTATTGAGAATTTGACTGGAAGGATGCCCTAGCTGCTGTTTGGGTCAGAAATTGCTATTTTCATTGTTATCGAATCTATTACAACTTTAGCCGTTACAATAAACTCAAATAAATAAAAAGTCGATCTTTTTATAAGATCTTCTTACATAATAAAAATATAAGATTACAATTCCTTCAAACAACACACAACAGATATTTATTACCTGTTGTTTGCGTGAGATCTTTGCCTGTGCCGGGGACGTTGATATCCATGGACCGCCTTGGATCAGATCCGGTTGACAGATTAAAAATCAAAGCTCCTACTTCACAAAGGAAGTATTCACAGCAGCGGTAATCTCGACCAAGCAAAATCACGGCTCTTCTCAAGATTTAGGACCAAACTTAAATCCGGAGGAATATAGGGGAAAGGGGTTTCGGATCTCTTGAACTCTCTTTTTATTTATGGAGAAACTTCGCCAAGATCTGCTAACCCTCTGAAATTCATGGCTTCACTCTCAATTTTGAAAGCACCTTGCCCTCTTGATTTCCTCTCGGAGAAATGAGCACCCGAGCTCGTATTTATAGGCTTTGGTTGGGGGGTTTTGGATAAAAACAAGGGATTCCTCCTTATCTTCAGTTAATAACTGATTAACCATAGTATCAGATCAGTTGGAATGCTCAGGAATAAATAAATCTTAAGAAAAAACGTCAAAACCGAAACAGGATCAAATTTGGCCGATGCGTCACCCGATGGCTCAGCCTTGGCCGAGCCACCCTTGGTGACCTAGCTATGGACCGAACCACTGGTTCAATCAACCAAGCCGCTTCGATGCGACTCGGCCGCCATCGGATTTCTTAGTCTTCCAGATTTTCATTTGTTCCGTCATTACACATATTTCATCGTTTCGTTGACTTGTACGCTGTTTTGGTGGCCGATGAGCGTGCGGGACACTTAATGGTGGCCGGTGAGAACGCGGGACACTTGGAGCTGGCTGAAAAGTGCACGGACCACTTGGAGGTGGCCGATGAGTGCACGGGCCAGTCGGTTCACTGATTTGGTGGCCAGTGAGCGTGCGGGCCACGTCATCAACAGTTCGTTGATTCGCTTATCGGTATCAGATAATTCTCTTTGATTTAGATAATGGCGTTCATCACCTTC